TGATGATGATAAATCCTTAATTTTTTCAAATGAATTGAATATATTAAATTGAACTAATTGCATTGGACGAATAATTTATAAATTCCTTCTAATTTTTTATAACATGATAAGATTAAAAATATGAAATAATATAATTAATAATTTTTCAAGAATTTAAAAAACACGGTTGTACAACCGATAGAACAATCGTGTTTTATTTAAGTAAAGTCGTGATATAATTCATAGCGTTAAACATAAAAAATTATTGAATAAGATAAGTTTATAATCATTTTTCTACCGATCTTATTTCAATATAAATAAAAGTTTGGAATTCTTCATTTAATCGGCTTTGAAATGTATCAGCTTCGTTTTTATTTTAAAGATCAGCTAAGAAATGAGAAACTTTACGTCGTTTAACCCAATAACGTGTCGTTAGATTAGAACATATTTGATAAATCCTCCTCCATCTGTTACGAGTGAACAATATCTATAATTCGTATCATATCTAAAAAAATTTCGTGTACTCGATAAATCTCAATTAAGATTATTGCAGGAGACAAACACGACGTTTATAAAATCCTATTTCTACAAATTCTCACAAAAAAAAATAGAAAATTTTAGAAAGACGGGATGGGTAATGCTTCTCAACGGACATCTCTAAATATTTTATGAGGATGAATGATAATTATATAATTAAATTCATAAACTATTTATTATATTAAAAATAATCTTTAAAAGGGAAGTGGAGGTTTATTGATTCGTTTTTTTTGGTAAAAAGATTAATTAATTTAAATACATGAAATTAGGGATATGTTCGCCATTTCCATAACTTAATACCATTAATTAAGCAACCTTGAGCAAGTTATTCCTCAAATATGCGATTTAATATCTTACTTTTCTTATATAATAAAGTATTATATCTTATAGTAGCAAAACCATACATATTCATTCATTAAATAAAATTTTAAATTATAATAGATTCTTTAATGTACTTACTTATCAGAGTAAGTGATGATGCAAATTTTTATATTTATCTATTCAAATTTATATATTTAAACTGAATAATTAGATTAACTTGATTAAATAAATAAAAATTTTATAGGTTGAATTGGTTTATAAGTTTTTTTAAATTTAAATTTAATTTGTTAATTTTTTTTATATACATTTGCAACAACTTCCTCTATATTATCCATATTAAAATGGATAATGTAAATTTGTGAAAATCTTAAAATAGATCTGTAATTTTTTTTTTTCAATCAAAATAATATTTAACCATTCAAATTATTTTAGTCATTTATTTACAAAATATATAATAATAATAAAATGTTAATATTTATTTATTTATTTTTAAAGCTTGAATTAACATTTACCATTCAAATTTTAAAATTATATCAATAAATTGAGAATTCTTCAAATTGTATCGAATATATTCGATTGATTGAATTCAATCCAAATCGTATAAATTGTGTTGGGTTAATTGAGTTGTTCGGGTTGCGAGTCATTGGAACCATTACTATTTTAATTTCTTAGGATGATTATTTTGTGGGTGTGCTTAGTTAGGAGTGAGTAGCCCTCATTGATCTCTATTGGAATTTTATCGTAGCCCATTCAATAGTTTGTGGGCCGAGGTATGAATGGTCACAAAAGTTTTTAAAATGGTTACTTGGGTCCGCCTTTTCAGACCTTTCAACTAATGTGGGATTTTCGGATTTTATGAGATCTTATAATCTATCCTTATGATACCATTTGTAATAGCCCAAGCACCTGAGCACCGCTAGTAACCTCATAATCCACCCTTTTGAGAGTTTAACGTGCCCATGTCTAACACTGATACCATTTGTTGGCCAAACATGGAAGACCGATGAGATCTCATAATCCACCCCCTTGAGAGCCCAACACTGTAATACGACACACTGTCCGATCTCACAATCCACCCCCTTGAGAGCCCAACACTGTCATACGACACACTGTCCCATCTCACAATCCACCCCCTTGAGAGCCCAACACTGTCATACGACACACTGTCCCATCTCACAATCCACCCCCTTGAGAGCCCAACACTATCATACAACACACTGTCCACTTTAGCCCATTAAGTAAAAGTTTTCCTTTCATCCTATTTCAACATCCTAATTCCGCTCCCATTCTAATTCTGATTCGTGCAACATAATTACATAATTATGTTAACCGTTTCTAAATCTAAAAATATTATGATTCGTGCTACGTAATTACTAATTATGTTAACCGTTTCTAAATCTAAAAATTCAAATTTCAATATTATAACGTAATATTATTAATATAAATCCTCACTGCTTCCCTCTCACATATATTTTTCTCTTTATTTTTTCATACCCTCAACCATTTGTTACACAAAATAATTCACATAAAAAACATATAACCCATTGGAAAGAGTCACCAAGCCAAGCAAAGAGCCACCAACCCCGCCAGCACAACTCCGCCGCCGGCCACACGCCCACGCGAAGCCGCCGAACCATCAGCGTCGGAGTCAGCCGGTCCAGGTGCATCTGCATCATCCGCAACCTCAGCGGATTTTGGAGAACTCCTCGGTGATTCAGCCAGAGCCTTGGACGACGGCGAAGGAGAATCGGCATCGTCAACGTCATCATCCGCCGGCGACGGACTGGGAGCTTCAACCGGCGCAACAAACAGAGTCTCCGGCGCAGGAGGCGGCAGATTATAAACACCAATACCAGGAATCACAATCGGAGCACTAACTTGCAGAACAGAGATATCATAAGGCCGAGAAGCAACCGATTTCACAAGCATAGCGCTGAACGGAGCGCCTTTAGCGGCAGATCCAAATTCGATTTCACCTCTTTTATTATGCACGATTTTCAAGAAGCCTTGTTGCTTGACGGCGTCGCCAGTGGATTGAAACATGGAAGTGATTTCAGTGGGTTTGCCGACGGGGAGCTTCCGGAGCTTTGCAGGGTCGTAGTAATCAAGGATAATGTGAGCACCGAGAATCTCCTTGACGGTGTCGAGGGAGTTTTTGGCAATGGCGGAGACAGTGGAATTGTCGAGGGCGAGGATGGTGATGGTATTGCGGGTGTTGATTTGTTCGAAGAGGTGTGTTTTGGTGAGATAATCGTTGAAAGCCCCGAATTCAGGGAATTGATTGAGAAGCTTGGTGATGTTGAAGGCGGAAACAGAGGAGGGGAAGCAGAGGAGGAAGAACAGAGGAAAGAAGGCGAAAGAGAGGATAGAAGAAGGGGCCTTCTGCTTATTGTTCATCATCCTTATTTTTAAGCCTCTCTTTCGCCTTCTTTCCTCTGTTGAGGAATGAAGGAATGGAGGGTGGAATTTATAGCAACAAAAATAAATTATTATTATTATTATTTTATTGTAATTACTAATATTTGAATAATTCAAAGGCATTGCTTCTTTGGAGGTGGATGATTGTAAATCCTCTCCATTTTTAGTAAAATTTTTAGTTTAAAAAACAGATTCTCAGAATAAAAAACAGAATAAAATTAAAGTTTTTTTTGGGGTTAAAATATCATTTTTAGTGGTAATTTTAATCGATTTTGAAACAAGTTTTGGGTTTATTGTTAAATTTGTATTTTAAAAAAATAGATTGAAATAAGTTTTGAGATTATTATTAAATTTCATTTCTAAAAAATATTTTGGTTATTTTATTAAATGTTTAAATATTATTTTGGTCGTATTGATCAAAGAGGGGCTATTTTTATGTAATATTTTGGCAATAAAAGTTTAAATGACCAATAAGGCTTCTTGGTTAATGTTTGGAGATAGTGTTGCCAAGGGGATGGTTGTTGATCCAAATTGGAGTTATTTTTAGTTCCAACTTGGCATCGTCTATGGTATTCTTTATAACAAGGGCAATGGGGAGTTCATAGATCGATTCACTAGGTTTTAGAACACAAGTATATGAATCCATAGATTGAATCGGTCAAGTATAAGTGAAGACATAACATCAACACCCATCGACTATGCCCACACTTGTTGGGTGCCACCACTCGAGGGATTTTAGGAACTAAATGTGGATGATTCTTGGCTCGAGGATGAAGGGACAGGGGTGGGAGGCTTGGGATGGGTGATTCATATCAAATCACTACAGGTCATTGTGATTGGGGTCGATTGGATAAGAGGTGTGGTGGGTCAAAATGTTGGAGCTACATGCCATCGATACCAACAAACCTACAGCCCTAATCGTTGAACCAAACAATCTAACATCCCGTCACCTCCTTTAGACTAGGAGGAGATTCAACAGGTGAAAACACAAGAAAGATGCTATCTTGACCTAGAGAACAGGTTGGGAATGGTATATTTCCACGCCACATAGCCGGCGACACAACCGCCTCTTGTCGGTGCTTTGGCAAAATTAACTTTTTCAAAGACAAATTTCTATACATTCTATCCCTTCTTTAAGTTAAGGATATAGATAGGGTAAGATCCTACATCAGTTTGAGAGATGAATGAGGGACAGCAAAGACATTAGGCCTCGAAGGAAAGTGAATTGTGAAATCCCACATTGATTGGAGAGGGGAACGAAGTACTCTATATAAAGGTATGAAAACCTCTCCCTAACAAATGTGTTCTAAAACTTTGAGAGAGAGGTCAAAAGGGAAAACCCCAAAAAGACAATATCTGCTAGCGGTAGGCTTTAACTGTTACAACTGGTTTTAGAGCCAAACATCGGCTAACAAGAGAACTATGAGCCCCAAAGGGAGGTGGACATCGAGCGATGTGCCAACAAGGACACTAAGCCCCGAAGGGAAGTGGATTGTGAGATCCCACATCAATTGGAAAGAGGAACGAGTTCCAGTGAGAATGCCCTAGGAAAATCTCGAAAAAGAGAATATCCATTAGCAGTGGACTGGACTGTCACAGCTATGTCACAGTCACAGCTATCTTGGAGGAATCTCTCTCCTAGTTTTCTCTTGTTCCAAAGAAAAATCATACTGCTGATTGACACAGAAATAAGTGTAACTTAAGGATGCAATGGAGCCACTCTCTTGGTGTAAGAGTAGGTTTCCACTACCAATCCAAAGGACAACCTTCTTCAAAGACAAATGATTCTTAAACCAAAAATAATCCACCCTGTTTGTTCAAACCTGATGGTTTTACCATTGCAGTTATGCCAAGCGAGGAGGCAACAACATTGGCATTGGCAATGAGCATAAGCTAAGTTTCCACCATCAAAGCTACTCTGGTTGATTAGCTTCCAAACCACCACAAAAAACCATGGCATCCTAAAAGACAATTTTTCATCAAAGGCTTTCTTCATCATCCTTTTATCTTCTCAATGATATCTGAAATCACTTCCTCCATGTTCAGCTCCTTCATACGAGTAAATGGTCGTTTCATATCCTATAAATGAAATGGATGATGTTATCGAACAGCTTTAGATCATCTAAGTGTATAATTGAAACGAGGACTTGTCAGAATAAGTAGGCAAAATTGGATGGCTTGACCGATTGCAAACGCATAATCTAAAGATGTCGAAAGGTCGAGGAATCCCTTATACGTCCACATATCCATCCATTTGTGAAAATGGTATGGTAAAGATCAAGAGTTCAAAATTCAGGCCAATATGAGCCGTTAAAAGTCATCTACCATCTCCTCCGAGGTTGGAGGTTCAAATATTCATCCTCCCACTTTATTACACTAAAAAAAATAAATTAATAAAGTTTGAAGATAATATTACTAAAATATATATCTAATATCAAACAAAATTCTGAAAATTGTTTAATCGAGCAAGTATAGATCGTTTTTTTATTAGCAAACAATATCAATATTTCACCGAGAAATAACATATGTAAAATACAAAATGATAAGGAATCAACTCAAGGGAAAGCTTTAATACCAAATGATAAGAAATCAACCCAAGGGAAGCTCTGATACAAAATGGTGTGGAATCAACCTAAGGAAAAGTTTTGGAACGGATTACCTTGACGACCAAGATCAAGAGTAAAGAAAACTTTTTTCTAAACTCGCGATTCGAATCACTCCATAAAAGGTTTGATCAATATCACTTGAATGACTCTAGTATGCAAGTTTTAAACACATTTTGGAATTGAAAAGAATAGAGTTTCTATTTTAGCTTTGTTGAGAGGTAAGCTTTTACTTTGCAAATTATTCTATTTAGAACTTGCATGCTAGAGTCATTCAACTGGTATTGATCAAACCCTTTGTAGAGTGATTCTAATCACAAATTTAAAAACGAGTTTTTTTACTCTTGATCTTGATCATCAAGATAATCTGTTCCAAAACTTTCTCTTGGTATTGACCAAACCTCTTGTAAAGTGAATCGAATTACGAGTTTCCTTTACTCTTGATCTTTATCATCAAGGTAATCCGTTCCAAAACTTTCCCTTAGGTTGATTCCATATCACTTTTTCTTTCAATTTAACCAAAGAGTAAGGACATTTTCGCCTATCAGCAATTAGATTCTAAACCGTTGAGCTTGAATATTCAGCAAATGTCAAATTAACTGGAAATGAAAATTTTCTATAATTGAAGTTAAAGGTAGTAATTACCAGAAGACTGATAAACTTCTCGCCATCATCACTCCGAATTTCAAAGCAACCCTTTCTTGGCTGCATATTAAAAAATAAACAACAAAATGAGGAGGAAAAACAACAATTTCACTGAACAAAACATATTCACTATCGACTTTACAGTTTTCTGCACAAGAATCTCAGTAATATATTATATCGGTTAGGAGTCAATCGAGTTGATACAGACGGATAGTTGAAACCATAGGATTCTAATATCCTAAATCATAGACATAAGCCCTCATGATTTTGTTTTTTTGAATCATTCAAAAGACTTCATATTAAAGGAGAATTAGAACTTCGGTTGCATTCCCAACAATGCACCCCTCGAACAATGGATGACCAAGCCTCCCTTCAAATAGTCATCCTCTTCACTAAAGCACACTCACTATTTTGATTAGCTCAACCGAGGATCACCATGACTATGTCATTGAGGTATACCAACACATCAAAGTCAGAGGCATGACTCTCATACCACTGGTAAGGGACAATAAACACTTCATCATAACTCTACCATGATAGGATATTGTCCACCTTGAGCATAAGCTCTCATGATTTTATTTTAAAATTATCAAATAGCAGAACTCATGCTTCCTAAGTATTTTTTACTTTTGTTCACATACTCGATACCGTCAATCTAACCATGTAATATAGAGATTAGCTTTGACGTCACCCTAAACCAACAAAACAAAAGATACTCCTTGATTTCCAAAGAGAATTCTAATTCCTCCATTGCTCATGACACAAAAAACTATCGATAAATTACGCGTGAATCAGCGGAAGGCAGTGAAAACAAAAGGATAACAATGTCAAGAAATACATTTATATTCAGCAAAAAATAATACAAGGATTATATTCAGGCATAGAAATAAGACAAATTATCTTCCTTTTTTATTTTTATTTTTTTATTTATTATTATTATTTTTTTTTTTGTTAAGAACAACATGTAAGAGTTGAACTGGTCAAAAGGTTACCTTATTAGGATTGAGCAGCACAGTAATTCCAGAAACACCATTCTCTAGACCACTTTGCACCTGGATGGCCCTTTTCTTGAACGATTGGCACTGTTTGCTACAACAAAACAAGGAAAAGTGCCATAAGACAAACACCGCACGTAACAGTGGTAGAGGAAGGAAGCAGAAGAAGCCATGGGAGGCGCAGGCGGTAGACCAACACCAGAATAATGCGATGAAAGTCAAAACCCTCATTCTACGAAACCCTAAAAATGTAAATCCGCATTTCAAGGGAAGAAAATCTAACCTAAAAGCTCACCAATGGAACTAAGAATTTGGATAAAAATGGAACCAGAAAGCAATCAATAAATCAAGCATTTCAAAACCCTCGACGCTTCATCTTCAAATTAACTAACCTAATTTCAGTTCCTCACCGATCTCCGAGCAACAAATCAAATCAAAAAGAAAAAAAACTCACCAAAATTCAATCACAACCGTTCTGTTCTTCGCATCCTTGCTTAGTTTCTTCGAAGCAGCATCAATTTCCTCCCCCTCATTTCCAACCTCCTTCGCCTTCCCATTCTCCTTCGGAGCACGTTTCACCTTCTTACTCTTCGGCAACTCCGTCACAGCCTCTTCCACCACCAAATCAGCCATGGAGTTCACCGCCAGCCGGGGCGATCTCCGAGTCACCATCGACGACACCGGGGCCGGCTTCTCCTCCGCCGCCGCCGCCGGCTTGTCTTCTTGATTCTTGCTTCGCTTCCTCGGCGCCATGAAAGAAGACCTGAAACCCTAGAAAGAAAAACACAGAGCTACTTTGAGAAGAAAGTAACCTTATCGGCTTCTTACGGATCGACCTCCAATGAGAGATATGTACGTGACCGTTAGTTTACAGTGATGCACAGAGGCTATGGGTCTTTTTCCCGCGCTTTGGAACCGACGGTGGGATTTTGAAGAGACCGTGGAGATGGATTGGCACTTTGAGAATGGATCGTGGCCGTCGACTGGGTGGTCGTACGACGTCCACGCAGTTCCACTTGGTTTCTTCTCTGGAAGAAAGTGGCGGCACGAAGTCCCAGAAATGGCGCCGGTCTCCACCACCATTTATATTGTCATGTCGTCTTCCTAATTTTTATTTCCTTTTTTTAATTAGCATTAAACTGCATTAAGACTTCCATCCACGTGGCAATATCTCTCTCATTTTTCTACAGGTAGAAAAATCAGAGTAATATAATAAAAAAAAAAACATAAAACTTCCCAAATATTTCATAAATAAAAATAACGTAATTTTTTCAAATTTAAATTTTAATATTATAAAATAGTTTTACATCTATTTATTTATAAACTAATTTTGTATTTTAATCTTAATATATGTGTATAACTGTATATCATTTAATGATGTTTGAAATAATAAACTAAACGTACAAATTCTATAAGTTCTCGTCTTTTAATGTGTTGAAAAATATATTTATATTATGTGAGGTGAGGTGGAGATGAAAATAAGGAATATAATTCCGTCTTCAATCTCATTTATCTAATAAGGAAAAAATATTCTCCACTCCCTCCCTATTCTCTATTTGAATGGGGAATCTCCTCCCCGTTCGAAACAGGTCCCTATAGGTAAAATAGTCATCTCTAATAACCGGTAAGAACTAACGCAAAGTATATATCAATTATCATTGAGCTATATTCATAGTGATCATAAGCTTAGTGTCTATAAATTCATGAGTTTTTTAGATGAACAAATTTAATTCTACGTATTTTTTTTAAAACAAATGCATTTTTGTGTCGATTGAGTTCGACTAAATTTGTCAAGTGGCGACCCCAAACGTGTTTTTATCAAAGTTGCGGACAACGTTTCTTTTGGTTGAGCCCGAAACAATGTGTGTTATTCATGTGCATGAGATAATAGCAATGACGAGGACAAGTTCGATGAAATGAAAGATAGACTGTCCCTTGGCCCGTAGGTCCTGACACAAGGTTAGAATTCTAGCTCTTCCAGAGTGGTATCTCACTGATGGCTCGGGCCCCCCCGGAAGGGGGCCTTCTTCGCCCTCCACCTAAGCTGCGCAGGAAAGGCCCAAAGCCAATCCCAGGGAACAGTGAAGCTTCATAGGGTCTTTCTGTCCAGGTGCAGGTAGTCCGCATCTTCACAGACATGTCTATTTCACCGAGCCTCTCTCCGAGACAGTGCCCAGATCGTTACGCCTTTCGTGCGGGTCGGAACTTACCCGACAAGGAATTTCGCTACCTTAGGACCGTTATAGTTACGGCCGCCGTTCACCGGGGCTTAATGAGTTAGATCAGATTGAAACATTTAAAAATAAAAACAATCAAACTTAAAGTTGTAAATCTTTTCCATATAACTGACTTTTATTAAAACATTGAATTCACGACTTTGCTTCGCATTTTTATTTTTAATTAAAAATAAAATTTTAATACATAAAATATCAATTTATTTTATTTTTAAATGTTTTTATTTTCATATAAACCCAATTTCAAAAATTACATTAAAAAAAAGTTTTATTTTAACTCAATTGTTAGAGAATAAATAATTCAACAAAAATCAAAAGCGGGAATCTGAAAGATAAGGCTGCAATCAACCTAGCTCACTTGGCATGAAGATAACCCGGCAATTCATCGCCTCGTGGGGCCGACATCCGATTCTCCCCACGTACATTGTAGCGGTGAGCCAAATGCTAGCGTTCGTCTTCTGAACCTGTAGGATTTCCATGGCTGTCTCAGCTACCTCAGTTGCACCTTTGCTCGCAAAAGTAGTATCCAGGGGACGCATTGAGCCGTCAAAATCGAAGTTTCTTGCTTCAAGCTCAACATCGTCAATTTTATGTCAATCCACTTCAATCTCATCTCGTTTCCATCGGCGCAAGCCATTCGTAATTCAGGCGTCGGTTTCGATCTCGGATCCTCAAGTTCGAACGGGTCCTGATGATCTCGTTGCGTCCATCCTCTCGAAGGTAATGTTTTGAAACTTGCTTGGTTTAGTTTGTTTTGCATATTGGAACTGGTTCTAGGGTGAAAAATAGTCGATCTAGAATCGAAAATTGGAAATTCTAGTAGAAAATGTGTGCAAATAGAGGCCTACGTTAGTGAGTGGTACTGGACTTGGAAATTTACAGAAATTCTCTCTCGATGAAGATCATTCGGCTGGTAAAGGGAGTTTACATGATTTTCACTCGAGCCTCTTCAGATCTCAGAATGATCTTGGTCCACAATGCTTTAACTGTAATTGTACACTCGGTGCCATTAACTTTTGCTCGGATTTCATAATTTTCATTGCGGAATGGCGATTTTACTCTTTGAAGCAGGTTACAGGAAGTGACAGAGGAGTTTTACTAACTGAAGGAAAACATAAAGAGGTTGCTGAAGTGGCTCAAGAATTGCAAAAATATTGTGTAAACGAGCCTGTTAAATGTCCTCTCATATTTGGAGGTAATATTTCAAACAGTTCTACTGTTTCTTGTTGGATATGCTTGAATATACAATCTACTCATCTTGCATATGAACCCATGTTTGATCTTTATTTTCGCCTCTGTTTGGAAACAAGAAAGTATAAGAAATGATTTCAAATCTGCTTTTTTGAAATGCCAAAAATGATTTGAATTCTTCATCTTGTTTGGGTGTTTGTTGAAAAGGAAATGAAAATAATTGTTTTACCCATATAGTACTTCAAGCCTAATTTAGAAACTAAAACATGACTAGTTTAATCTGAAGATCTACGAAATCATGAGAAATCCAACCATTTTTGTCTTGAATTTTTGAAGTAAGCTTTAGGCAGGTTCTTAAACCATCTTGGTTCCATTACAAATTTATTCTCTAAACTTTATAGTTTTTGTCTATTTGATCTTGAACTTGAAAATTACAAATTCAGTTCCAGAGATTTAAGATCAATTACTTTTTACAAGTTTTGAATTTTTCAAGAATCTACTAGACTCAAAATTGAAAATTTAGGGTCATAGAAGTTACGAGACCAAATAGACTAAACTTCAAAGTTCTAGAACTAAATTTATGATTTAACATCGTTTTATTTGACGGGATAGCAAATATCTGAATTGAGTTGAAATGTATCGGAATTTAAAAGCATGCTAGAACCCAAAAGAGAATACAACCCAGTTGTTGCTCATTTTCAGCTTTAGTTTGGCTAACATGATTAAATGCTATCTCAGATTGGGATGTTGTTTATTGCTCTGTGCCAACATCGCCTGGGGGTGGATACAGAAGTGCAGTGGGTCGCATTTTTTTCAAGACAAAGGAAATGATTCAGGTTGTGGAAGCTCCTGATACTATCAGAAACAAGGTGTCCTTTTCTGCTCTTGGTTTCCTAGATGGACAGGTCTCTTTGACAGGTAAAACTTTTAAAATTCCTCTGTAAACAATAAAATTTGAGACCTCTATTCGTGAACATATCAGAAAATTAAATCAATGGCTGGAAAACCAAACCAAGGTCACAGTAACATAGCTGACATAGCCTCTGGATTTTGGTTGACTTGCTGCGATTTTTTTCATAAGAATTAGTCGCTCCTAACTTTGTACCTCAAGAAACATTCAGACCTTAGATTAACTTGTTACTTCTCAAAAGTCATCTTTGTAAATTGTAGGCGAGTTGGAATGTTTTGGAAACTACTTTTGTAACAGCCCAAGCCCACCGCTCATAAATATTGTTCGCTTTAGCCTGTTATGTATCACTACTAGCCTCACGATTTTAAAACGCGTCTACTAGGGGAGGCTTCCATTCCGTTATAAGGAATGTTTCGTTTCCCTCTCTAACCAATATGGGATCTCACAAACACGGTTTTAAAACGTGTGTACTATGGAAAGGTTTCCACACTCTTATAAGGAATGTTCCATTCCCCTCTCAAACCAATGTAGAATCTCAGAAACGTGGTTTTAAAACATGTTTAGTAGGGAGAGGTTTTCATACTCTTATAAGAAATGTTTCATTCCCCTTTCCAATTAACGTGGGATCTCACAGACACAGTTTTAAAACGTGTCTATTAGAGAGAGGGGAACGAAACATTCCTTATAAGGTCGTGGGAACCTCTCTCTGGTAGATGCGTTTTAAAATCGTGAGGCTGACGACGATACATAACGGACAATAGCGAACGATATCTATTAGCGGTGGACTTTGGCTATTACAACGGTTGAATTGAAATAGCATGAAAATTTTGGAATGATATTAATCACATCCACAATTTAACTACATGGGCTCTGATTAAAGCATATGGGATTTTTTGCACCATGATTCTAAAGCATCATGTACTCATGGACCAAGTTTTAAGAATTCAAGACGCCATCCCTGACTCTTAGAATTGATTTGGTTAGTTATGTTTCATCTAGTGCCTTCAATTTACTTGACGTTCGATGATGGTGGAGAATCTCATGAATTCTTTTAAATTGGAGTCCAATCTCGTAGTCAGTTGTAGGCACTTTTTGTGGGTTCTATGAATTTACCATAAATATCATATTTGATATTTTATTAGAATGCAAATATCTAGATATTTGTTGATATTTTATCATAAGGCAAATATCTTCTTACCCTGGGTATCTTTCCATTTATTGTTATTTCTATATCCTTGTAATTTATTTGATTATAAATAGATAACTTTCTCACCCTTTAGGTGCTGGGGATTAAGCAAACATTCTCGCCATGATATATTCTTTTTCATTTCGCTCAATGAAATCGTGTTTCTTACAAACGAACAAAAAAATGTCAGGTAAATTGAAGGCTCTGGATGATAAATGGATCAAAGTTGTGTTCGAGCCACCTGAACTAAAAGTCGGCGGATTAGAGTTTCGATATGGTGGCGAAAGCGAGGTACAACTCCAAATTACATACATTGATGACAAAATTCGTCTCGGAAAGGGCTCCAGAGGTTCATTATTTGTCTTCCAAAGACGGGTTTGAAGCTACTTAGTTAAATTATGATTAATAATGCTCTTTTCATGTCTCTATGCTAATTTTTGTTCCTAATGACTCCTGTCCATAATACTCTTAAATTTGCAACAATTTAGCCACTCTAATAGAGAGACAGCTGAACATGTGTTGTATAAATAGTGATAGATCTCACTCATTGCATTATGTTGATTGTAGGATATACAAATATATTTATGTTCATGTGATAGATGTACGTGAAAGTCATATTTGAATATAAACGTTACATCTTTTATATCAATTTATTTTATTTTTTGCTTTTTTCATTAACAATAAAATCTCATGTCCCATAAAATTATTGATATTCGATCTCTATATATTTATCATTTTAAAGTCATTAAACGTGTAAATAATTATATATTCAGAGACAAAAAATTAAATAAAATGAGATGTAAATTACCAATATTTTTTTTATCTCTAAGATAAATATTTAATTTTTTATTTTATTTTCTTGTGGCCGGGTAAAAATGTTATTTTTGTCCCATACCAATTTAAGGATTTTATTAAAATTAATTTTTAGCTAGATTTATAAAATCTAATAATTTTATAATTATTTATATTTTTAAGTTGCATTATTTAAAAGTAGCTATATTTTCGTGAAAACGAGCCTCAATATTTCGTTTAAAAAAAAAATTAATGTCATGCCGTATAATAAATGCGAAAATTCAAAAAATGTGAAGCGAAAAACGAATCGAAGAAAGGAGGAGACAGCAGGCTACTTGGAGGGACGGCGGAGCACAGCCAGGTATAAGAAACTCGCCGCGGCTGTTGATTTCACCGGCTTCGTCGAAACTTTGGGCCTTCTATATTGCCTAGATTGTTATTTGATTTCGAATTACGAAGTGAAATCCAGAGTAGAATATTCGGCTATCCCGATGATGTTCGCGGCGGTGAGTTATCCTCTACCATTTCTTTATCATACATTTATTTGCTCAGAATTTTTCGTATATGGTGTTCACATGTTCATTTTGGTGGTTCAGTTTGCAATTGAATCGCCTCCGTCTCACATTTCTGTGCTTGGATTCCTGAACGGAGCCCTTAACTTTTTCAAGCGCGATATTTCTCGGATGTTCGCCGTCTTTAACGGCCTATCTAACATTGATGCAGTAGCGAGGTAAAACGACTACATATTTCGATCCTTTGGTTTGCTCCGTCTGAAATGAGTGCGACACTTCATCGACTTTCCAGTAATTAATTGACCTTTTGTTTGTTAACATTAAGAAATTGAAAGAATTTTAATGAATTTCTTTTTGCTTTCTGATTATATACATTACATGCGAAGGCCCAACGAGGATGAGGATTCATTACAGCCTGCTATTAAAAGTTTGATGACAACTGACGGTGACCATTGCGAGTTGAGATTCTCGGATTGTTTTTCAGAAAAGCGTAATTTTGAGGGCAAGGTGATCCGCAGGCTGTTTTAAATGTGTTGGATGCCCTGGTCAGGGCTTGTCGTTGAAATATCATCAGGTACAATAGAGTCAATCCCAATAATTGTACAACTCATTTATATTTATTTTAGTAGAGATTTTAGGAAAGATATCTTAAAAAGATTTAGGTCTGGATTGCGTAGGTTCTAGTATAAATACACCTCCACCCTAAGTAGGTTATTCATCCAAGAAATCCAAAAAGTATTCTACACAGTGTCTTGTATTCTCTTCTCGATTGGTTTTAATAAAGAGTGCGAGTGTTTCCCACAGAGAGTTGTGTTCAACAATTGGTATCAGAGCTTGATTAGCGTAGGTTATCTGATCTCTTGGAATTCTTAGTATGCTTTGTGGATGTGCAGATCTGTCTGATCTTCCACATCAGAAATGATTTCTTGAGATTAGTAGTGAGTGAGTTTTTTTTTGTGTCGTAAGTAGTTTGTGACTCTGCAAGTTTGTGTCAAAAGAGCTTGTTTGGTATTACTGAAGTATGACCAACACGATGGGTGATTTCCAAATCGTTGGAGGAATCAAGAAACTCAACAACAACAACTAAACACGTGGGCAACATGCATGATGTCCTATTTACAAGGACAAGATCTTTGGGAGATCGTTGGCGGGTGTGAAACTATGCCGCCAGAGGAGGATTCTTACGGCGCCATGCACAAATGGAAAATCAAAGCAGGCAAAGCAATGTTTGCCTTGAAGACGACAATCGGAGAAGAGACGTTAGAACATATTTGGGATGACAAGACACCGAAAGAAGCATGAGACACATTCGTGATGTTGTTCTCAAAGAAGAACGATACAAGCCTACAACTTCTGGAGAATGAGTTGTCAATTTCACAACGTGACATGACGATTGCTCAGTACTTCCACAAGGTCAAGTTGATTTGTCGGGAGATTACTGAACTAGACCCGAGTCCGCCATTGTAGAATCTCGAATGAAGAGAATTATAATCCACGGATTGCGACCGGAATATCGAAGCTTCATTACTGCTGTACAAGGATGGCCTACTCAACCATCACTTGTAGAGTTCGAAAATTTGTTAGCCAGCCAAGAAGCCATGGCTAAACAAATGGGAGACATCACATTGAAGGGTGAAGAAGAAGCACTCTACACAAGTGAAAGTCGGAGCAATAATAGGTCGTCTATCAAACGTGGATACAATGGTGACAAAAGAAGAAGCTACCAAGGAACTGCACAACCTGAGAGAGCTTAAAAGAACGACAACAAGAGTTTCCAAGAAAAGAGATTTGGAGGTATTTGTTATAATTGCTGGAAAAATGGCCACATGTCTAGAGATTGTTGGTCTAGGAAAAAGTCGGTTGAAAGCAATGTGGCAATATCCAAAAAGAAGATAGAGGATGAATGGGATGTAGAGGTACTATGTTCAATTGTAGAAGACGAGTTAGTACTCATGGCAATGATGGAAGAGCATATTGATTACGAGGATGACTGAATCATTGATTCAAGATGCTTAACCACATGATTGACGATCAAAGCGGTGTAATGGAAGAGGGGTGGCCCTCAGAGAAGGAAGAATTACGAGGCCTTGAGCTAACTGAAGAAATTCTTTTACAGAACACAAAGGAGCAAACAGAAGAAATTCTTTTACAGAACACAAAGGAGAGATTCTTCCATAAAAGACGGGGGAGCAAATTGTACACATTTGCTTAAGTGCTGATGTGCCTGAAGATTCAAGTGACACTAGTGTTGGTGAGCAAGGAGTGACTCAATCAAGCAAGCCTAGTGAAAATGAAATGACACCTCAACAACTTAGACATTCAAAAATAATCCTAAAGGCAAATCCAGAGTATGCCAACGCAGTAGAAGACGAAGTTAATGAGCCGGAGACATAGGAAGAAGCATCACAAAACTCAGCTTGGCAGAAAGCGATGGAGGAAGAAACTATAGCCCTGGAACAAAATCAAACTTGGGAATTAGTGCCAAGACCAAGAGATACCAAACTCATATCTTATGAGTGAGCTTACGAAATAATGTGTACACCAAATGGATCAATCGTGAGATACAAAGCTCAGATTATAGATTCAGGGTTCTCTCAAGAATATGGACTAGACTATGATGAAACGTTTAGTCTAGTGGCAAAGATCATTATCGTACAAGTTCCTCTAGTATTTACGGTAAATAAAGATTGTAAATTATGGCAGATGGATATGAATAATGCTTTCTTGCATGGAGAGTTAAACAGAGAGCTCTACATGGACCAATCGAAGAAATTCGAAAATGAAGTTGGAGTCATTGATCAATATATGCAAAATCCGAAGAAGCCTCATTTGGATGTGGCTCGACGGACCTTGAGATATGTCAAAGGTACAATCAATTACGATCGTTTATACAAAAGAACGAAGACTGGAAGCTAGCTGGATATAGTATGTCGACTATGCAGGAGACCACGATACCCGAAGATCAATCACTGGGTATGCGTTCAAGCTCGATTTGAGAATAATTTTTTGGTGTAACAAAAGACAACCAACAATATTATTGTCAACTAAAGAAGAAGAGTATAGAGCAGCTGCTGGAGCAACTTAGGAAAATACATGGTTAAAACGTTTGATGGAAGATTGGCACCAGAAAATTGAGTATCCAATACCACTTCATTGCAACAATCAATCTGCGATTCGCCTAGCAGAAAATTCGGTGTTTTATGTTAGAACAAAGCATGTGGAGGTGCACTACCATTTCATTAGAGAGAAGGTCCTAAAGGAAGAAATCGAGATGCAGCAGATCAAGACAGATGACCAAGTGACAGACTTGTTTACAAAAGGGCTGAATATTGGCAAACATGAGAGTTTTCGCTGTCAGCTCAACATGGTGCAGCGAATGAGGACCAGTGCGAGTGTTGAAATATTATCACTAGCCCAATAGAGTCAAGCCCAATAATTGTACGAGCCCATTGTATATTTATTTAGATTTTAGGAAAAATATCTGATTTTAGGAGGAGATCTATATAATTTAGGAAAAAGATTCAGATTGGTTAGATTTAGATTTAGATTTGTTAGGTCTAGATTGCGTAGTATAAATACACCTCCACCCTACCTAGGTTATTCATCCAAGAAATCCAAAAAGTATTCTACACAGTGTCTTGTATTCTCTTCTTGATTGGTCTTAATAAAGAGTGCGAGTGTTTCCCACAGAGAGTTGTGTTCAACAGTAGTTTGGATCGTTTGAAGGCCATGAGGTGATTTTTGCTTTTCTTTAATTATATTTGCTTTCACTCTTATAGTTCGAAATCTCAATACATGATGATCTCTTCATCAATGTGGACTAGCATAGACGAAAGCCATCCTGCTTATTTAATGAATAATATCTTACTTGGTAAATCTTATTATTTCCTTTTATAAGAAACAATTTCATTGGGGGTAAGAAATTACAAAAGGAGAGATAATCAAGGGTGATTCTAAAAAGTTTGCAATTTGTTAATAGAGTAGCATAACTATAAGAAGAAAAGATATTTGTAGTTACACTAAGAGATAGCATGATAAACAATGGAATCAAAGAACTTGTCAAAAGGAAGCTCTTTATCCAATAAACTCTTTGGTTTCATTATTTCCAATGATTCCAAAGAAAATCCCTGATGGTAGATTTTCACAACAAA